ACACCCATCATTACTGATTCGAGCACATTGGTTGTCTACCACGAAGGCGCAAATTTAAATCACAAATAGGGTTTTTTATGAAACGACGGTGAGCCCGTTTCAACGACAAATCCGATAGCTCCTTGAAATCGAAGAAACTCGAATAGCTAACCACAATGAGTATGTAAGTTAAAGCCGAAGCCATCTCGAACCCCAACCTTTGCAGCCACCCAACCAATGAAGACCAAATAAATCATCTACAGCAACAGCAACAACAACTAGCTAGATCGCTCGCCTTATTAGCAAGCGAACACGAACAGCAGCAGCATTAACCGACCCAGAGCACCAAAATTGAATCCACACCAACGGCAGTAGCACTGACTGACCCAGCGCACCATCATCATCATCATCCACCTCCCGGCAACATTGTACTCGCACCACCCATCGACGCGATTGCACCGAGACTGTCGATGGCACCTAGAATGCCGACTCAGCAGCATACGCGACAACGACCCTTCAACGACGACGACGATAGCAACAAGAATGTTAGGATAAGTTAAACATATCAAGAAATAAAATCAATTCTGTTTCGATCTTGAACGAGTCAAGTCGTTATTTCAAAGTTTCCGAAGTTCTTAACTTGTATTCTTTGCCTTTGAAGTGAAATAAGTTCGATGCTACTCTCTCAAATGGCAAACCAGGAATTTCTTTTGATACGATGGTTTGTTTGACGTTGTCTCGTTGATGCTTTTGGCAGACTCTGCAGGCATCGACTATTTCCTGGATGTCGGAAGTCATGTTTATCCAAAATAAGGACTGCTTCGCACGCTTCACACAATTGTGTAGTCCGGGATGTCCGCTATGGATAGTTGTTAGCATTTTTTTTCGCAGTGATCGTGGAACCATTACTTGATTAGCCTTGAACACTATTCCCTCGTATACCGCAAGTTCATCGCGGAAACACCAGAATTTACGCAGGATAGGATTTACATCGTCTCGTTGATCTGGCCAACCAGTCATTATCACTTGTTTCAGTAGTTGCATTTCATGATCAATCGTGACGTGATCTCGAAGCTCGGTAGCTGCTCGCTTAGACATCTGTAGTACGATATGAACCTCGAGTTCTTCCTCAAACTCATCTTTATGTTGATTCAAGACGTCCCGACTCAGTATACCTGGGATTGGTATGTCCTTGCCTCTTACGTAGACGACACGTGGATTATACTGCGCAACATCCAGCCTAATCCTCTTCAGCCTTGGTGGTGCGCGGTCTAAAGGCTTCCGAAAAATTGACTCCAGTGGTTTATGGTCACTCTCGATGGTCAATTCTTTGCCGTATATGTACTGGTGAAATTTTTGACATGCCAAACGAATTGCTGCAGCCTCTTTCTCTATTTGCGGATAATTAAGTTCTGCTGGATTTAACGACTTCGAAGCGTAGGCGAATGGCTGACCACCTTGCAATAGCACTGCCCCCATCGCTTTGGAACTGGCATCCACCGACAACGTAACAGGTGCATTGACGTCGTAGAAGGCTAGTATGGGCGGAGAAATCATCATGTTTTTTATTTTCAGAAAGGCATCTTGTTGTTCTACGTTCCAATCCCATGCAACGTTCTTTGCTAAGAGCGTTCGAAGTGGGCTTGTAATTTCTGATAGGTTTTTAATGAACTTACCGAGGTACGTAATCATGCCTAGAGCTCTCTGCAGCTGCTGCCTATTAGTAGGTACTTGGAGATTCCGTATTGCATCAAGTTTATCATCATCTGCTTTTAATCCGTCGGCCGACAGGATGTGTCCCAGGAACTTTACTGATGGCTGGTCAAACAAGCACTTCTCACGGTTCAACTTTAGTCCTGCAGTCTGGATTTGTTTCAATACGATGTTTGTAATTTCCTGCAACTCCCTTGAGCTCCTGGCGTGAATCAATATATCATCCATAGAGCATTCAACGCCATCGATACCTCCAATTACCTCTAGCATAATGCTTTGGAATACCTCGGGAGCCGATGCCAGGCCAAATGGTAGTCGCTTACAACAATAACGGCCCCACGGCGTTCCAAACGTGAGGTATTTTGATGTGCGGTCAGTTACTTTTATCTGCCAGAAACCTTTTTTACAATCCAAAATTGTGAACCGACTAGAATTCTTAAGGCGTGCAGCGATTTCCTCAATCGTTGTAAGTGGGTGATGTCTTCTTAAGAGATTCTGATTAACCTGCGATGGATCTATGCAGATCCGCAATTTTCCTTTCTTTCGAACAATAACCATGGCATTAACAACGGGGGTTGGTTCACGTATCTTTGCAATCACTCCTAATCTTTCCATACTAGAAAGTTCTTTTTTAACATCCTCTCTGATGCTGTGGGGTACGTTTCTCGATGGGCGGATCTCCCATGCTGGATTACCAACGAGATCAATATCATAAACGTAATTTCGCAAACATCCCAGGCCTTCGTACAGATCACTTTTGTTTATTTCAACAGTGTTAATCCTGGCTATCAGTTGAAGGACAATGCAAGTTTTGCGGCCTAGCACTGGGGTGACGTCTTCCTTCACAACTTTAAAAGTAATTGGACTGGACCTACCTTTTATGAGGCATTGTGTAGAAATTTCACCTACGACCGGAATTTTCTGGCCGTTGTATGTCACCAGATTTTTCGTCACTGATGGTTCGATTGCTACGGAAATATCCTGGAGAATCCTCATGGGCAGCACGTTGCACTGGGCGCCGGTATCCAGCTTGACTGATACTCTTCTTCCTTGAACTTCGATGGTCTCAAACCAGTCGTCCTCTCTGTTGTTCTTCACAGTATGCACGTAAAACTCTTCTTCTGCTTCGGATTCGTCACATTCACTCACTTGACGTGTGATCTCACTCACCTTTTTCTCAGATTTTCTCTTCGATTTACACATAACGGCAAAGTGTCCCTTTAGTCCACAAGCATTGCACATTTTTTCAAACGCAGGGCAAGCACCTCTTCTTTACCTTTTCTTCTTTATTCAATTCTCTTGTTTGCATCGATGTTAGTTCAAAGTTACGACACAGTTCAATAGTTTTCTGAAGCGTGAGCTCGTCATCAAGTAATTGAGGAACTAGCTTCGAAAACCGCGTTCCAATGATTAACTTGTCTTTAATTAGCGAGTCGTGTAAAACGCTAAATGCACATTTTTTAGCCTGCTCCCGGACGCGAGTTACAAACACATCGAAAGGTTCTTCCTCCTTCTGCACTATTTTGTTGAAATGATACCGCTCGTATGTGATACATGACTTCGGAGTAAAGTATTCGTTGAATTTTTGAACTATCACGGTAATATCATCTTCCTGCTCGGGGCGTAGCCCAAAAGTATCGAAAATACGTATACAATCCACACCGATTGCACTTAACAGCGTTGCTGCCTGCACTGCGCTTGGTTTCACATCTAATTGTGTCGCGATTGAAAACCACCTGAACTGACGGTACCAACTTCGCCACTGTTCTGCCATATTATCACTTAACACTAGTGGTTTTTTCACGATTTTCACGTTCGTGAGGAAACAATTCACTGTTTCTTATCTTTATTGTTGTTTCTCAACATTTTACGGCCAATTGCACCCGAAACTCCGCGGTTTAACAAAATTTAATTCTGACACCATGTGATTCGTGTTGAGACTGGAGTTAGCTTTATTCAAGAAGGGTCTATTACAAAGGTGAGCACATGAGGTGATGGTATTCACAAAGTGTGAAACACGTTAAATGTAAACTACTCACAAGTTACTACATTACAGTTCCTTCAGATTGCGGATATTAATACCGCAACACTGCTGGCTGATGTGGTAGAATGTTTCGCAAAAACCACAGCGCAGCGGCTCGAGCTCGTTGATAACGAGCTGACATTCTCCGCATTGTTTTTGGTCCATTCTGCTTTGACGGAGCTGCACAGTGAAAAGATGGAGACGGGTCGGGATTCGATGATGCGAGGATGACGTGTTGATTACAGCAAACGACAGCACGAAATTTATCGATATTCCACACGTTTCGGAGAGATTGTCGAAGATAGTATTGTTTACGCACAATTTTGAACACTTAAAACCAGATTTACACACACAAAAACGTCAGCAAACATAGTGATATATATTACAATTTTTGAAAATTAAAACTATTAAAAAAAATAACATCTTGTTGGACAAAATTCGCTTTATTGGTTTTGTTATAATGGCATCCGGAGCAATGGCGTTCAGGGTAACGACTTTCCGGGTAATGGAATATCGAAAATTCGGGGTGGGCAAACCCATTACAGTAATTACCCGATTTTGTCAACCCCCCCGAGCATCAGACTTTTATCTTTCAATTTTAACATAACCCTGATTTCAAATCTTTCCCTGATTTCATCTTTAAGATGGATATTTAAGGTACTATATTTTGGTGCCTTAAGACCACTGAAAACGTGCATGGGTTTCACCTTTTTGGCAAACTGTGCATCGGTTGGAAGCTTTTATCTTGTTCAAAATCAAACATTTAACATTCCTAGCTCATTATTTTGATTTGAGTTTCAAAGTAGTTAAATAACTCGTTAAATTATGCCGCAACCAAGACCAATTTACGGCTCCAGCTGCATTTCATCAGAAAGAATCGAATATCGACTCGCAGCACGTGCTTTCCGGAATTAATCGGAAATCGCTCTGAGCAAAAGCTTTCATTCGAAAAGCTCCACTACAATCCGTAACGCTTTCACGCACACCACGTAAAAATTGGCCTCCCTGCCAGTCAGTAGTCAGTCCGTCCCCCCGCAATCCTGGGAGCTAAGCGGAAATCATTCCCGTGAATGAAAGGGACCTGTTCGCTCGCTTCGTTCGGCTGGCTGGTCGGCTGTCGTGTGTCGTTTGTGTATCTCCGGTGGTCGCATGCGCACCAAGGCGCCACACTTTCATTCATACCCACCGAGAATTACGGGCAGCACAAGCTCCCAACCAACGAACATGCGATAACGCTATAAAAAGGATTGTACAAGTTCGCCACTCTTCAGGCGATTCCTGTCGCAGGACTGAGCAACAAGCGGTAGCTAGAGTTGAGTTAGTAGAAGCAGTATCAGCAGCAGCAGCAGTAGATTCTTTGGGCGTGCTGTGTGGTGTTGTGCCAAATTACCATTCTTCAAGAGATCCGGTTTTTCCACTTCCCGTGCCGACCATTTTTTTTCTTCAATCGCTCAGGTTGGCTGACTTTTTACTAAAGGCGTTCAGTGTTCGTGTGAAAGTGGTGTTTGGCCAGTGATTGCGAAACGTGACTGAGGATTAATTGTGCTAGTGGCGATCTGGATTGACGGGAATGTCCAACGAGTTGGTCGTACAAGAAGGAATTTGATTGAATTTTCCTCCCATTTCCAGCAGTGGTGGTAGTGTTCGTGCGTGTGTTTGAAATTGTAATAGAGCGAGAGGACGAGGAAATCGGCGGTGAACGGAAGCAAAGCGAAGATCCTACAAAGTTTCGTCCCTGACGAAGACGGTAGTGCTGCGGCGGGCGCAAAGGGAAAAGTGAAAAAGAAAATCTCACAAGGAATAGTCTGAAAATAAGTGTAGGAATATTGCAACCCCTTCGCCACCGGTGCAGGTGATAGGAAGATAGGATCGGAGAAGTAGTGGGGTAAGACAAACAAAAGTGAGAAAATAGAAACCCTCGGCAGTTGAGTCCTGAGTATTGGATGCACTTTTCCGATTGAGGAGGAAATCTCGGTTGGACATAGTTGAATCGCGCCGCAGAGAGCGAGCAACAAGGGGCCAAGGCAGCCGAACTAGTTTGTGTGGGTGTGCGTGTTTGGGCTTTGCTTTCAAGGATAAAAGTGCCAAGACGGGAAGAGAAGCAAGTTTCTTGGGAATCGTAAGGCACAGACGAGAATAGCTGTTCACTCCTCAACGCTCGTCAGCCTCCCACCCGCAGCCGACAACATGGGAAACTTTGGGATTCTTTTGCCGCCAAAATTATTTCTCCGGATTTCGATGCTGCTCTTTTTGGCTGTTCATAACGTAAGTATAACTTCTGAATTTTGGGGATGACTGAATGGTCGCGTCACTTTTCAAATAGACCAATGTAACATATCTGCCATTTGGAGAAAATCGAAGTTGAAGTTCGACAGATTACTGTAGGAAGTGAATAATAACTTTGGAAATTTAGTAGAAACGGTGAAATCACAATTTTATTTTGAATTTCATGCTACAATATAGAAAAAAAAGTAAGAGGTTGTATCCAAGACACGACCGTAGATTTGACGTAGGATTACGTGCTTGTATCAATATTTGGCGACTATGTTAGGGAAACCACTATTTGCGGGCAATCGGTGATAATTTTGATCAACATTGCAACAGTTGGACATTTGCGTAATTTTCAAAAGTGACCAATTAAAAATTGATAAAGTATTCATTTTAGTAGCTTTGTAGAAAAATTACCAATCGATTGGTTTGTTTAGAATCCATCCGCTATTGACAGAGTTATAAGTGGTCAAAACCTGACCGCTTTTCGTAACGCGGTCGATTTTGGTTTTTTTAAATTGCACCCCCAATATGTTGCCGAAAGACGTAATCCTACGTCAAAACCACATAGGAAGTTTTGACTAGTCAAATTGTACATTGGACGTTTTGTTCTACATGATACAAGATTCCCTTTCACAGATTTCAGAATGGAGTACCTAATCTTTCCATGTCCCGAGGTTAGAAAATTAGCCCCAATAGCATGATTGGCAGTCCAAATGTTCGAAGTAACAACCACTCACCCATCATTTCACACTATACATTGGACAATTTTTGACCTATCTTAAATAAATGAATGTTAATTTGGATGGGTGTTTATGTATCACATACAATAACACAAGAGCAATAGTTTGTATCGAGTAACTCGATTTTTTTTACATTTGTTACATTGGTCTATTTGAAAAGTGACGCGGGAATTGCTGTGGTTCAGCAGAATTTTTAATTTTGCGAGGGATCAAAAATAAAATTGCAATGCGTCCTTATTCCGATCAATACTGAATTCGATTGCTACTATGCATAACTAACGTTTTTCGGATGTTTACCCAATTCATTTATAAATATGTGGAGAATTTAGTGGTTAAATAAATATCCCAATCTGCTCTGGTTCTACATATAACTCCGCGGTGCGCCCGCAGGCAAGCCTGTCGAATGGAAGTGAAACAAAGTGTACCAAATTTTGCACATCCTATGCCCGGGTATTCAACTTCATAGCAAGAGAGAGAGGGAGAGAGTGCTGGTTTGCGGTATGCATATATGCTACGCAAACATTGGTCAGGATATTAGCGGCTATGGAAATTGAATTTATGAATACTGCTGTACTCTAACTGCAATGCTCAACGGAGCTGGTGGAAATAAATTTGACCACACGTTTTTGCGTTTTGCCAGAAAGCTAATAATGCTATTGGCGAAGCAGTGGAAGTGGATTTAAGTGTTTGTAAACTCTCGAAGCCAAAAAGTTGCGTTTATTCTATACTAAAGTGATCACCAAATTGCTGTTTTTAATACAATGTGCAGCATCTCGAGACTTCCATGGAATCTAAAATTTTATCATTCGCAAAAAATCCACAATCGGCTTACATTATCCCATATGAATCAACTTTAAAATTGTCGCGCAAATGCAAATCGCAATTAAACTCGATCAAATTTGGCATAGTTTTTAGGGTTCATTAAACCAATTGATCTACAAACTTTATCACGGTGTCTACTTACTGAAAAATTCAGGTAAACCGAGAATCTTAAGGGAATTTTATTTGTCCTATTCAAGCATCTTTTTTAAAGATTAACACTAGATTGACTCTCAAGCAATTTCACACTCACGACGCCAAAAAATCATTCCAGCCTTAAAGTAAAAAAACCGTCAATGGATAGCATGCTTATTACGGTATCGCAAATAAAAAAGTTTTGACGTCGGACTACGTCTGTGATTTCTATATGGGGGTACACTTTGTGAAAACTGAAAATGAAAAATGTAACAGGGTGGCCAGTGAGCCGGGAAAACCGGGAATACCGGAAAATATCCGGAAATTTGAAAAGTAACCTGGAAAACCGGGAAAACCCGGGAATTTGACGAGAGAACCGGGAAAAATAAATCTACCATACCATGGAAATAAATTTGTGTGCCAAAATTTCAGAATAAACCATTAAAACAGAGTGATTCTTTACCAAATGAATGTCTAGCTCTACTAGCTGTTTAATTTTCTACAGTTTCTCGCCTTAATGTTTTTAGAATTTAATCACTCAGCAAAACTTCAAATTAATTTTTGTCGTATCAATTTCAATTTAAATATTTGTAAAAACTGAATCTGAACTATTCTCTTCCGAGGTTTTAGTTTTTCGTTTTCAATTCGAAATTAAAATAACCATGCAATTTTATTCAAAATTCTCATGCTATGAATTCCAGAATTATATTGGAATTCTTTTCTAAAATATCATATTTTTTTCTGAAATTAACCAGAAAACACTCCGTTTAATAATTATCGTTGAGTTCTTTTTTGAATTTTCTTGAAACCTCTTCTAAGAATTTGGTTGGAGTTCTTCTTAGAATTCCCTTGAACCTATTCGGAGGCTTTGATTGCTTTGAAATTCTTTTCAAATTTTTCTTTTAACTCTATTCAGAACAGCAGAAATTTTTCGAAATTTTGTTTAGAACCCCTTGGAGTATTTTAAGAATTTCTTTTTTATCATCAGCATTTTTTTTGCAATCAATTTTGTTGGAGCTCTGTGATACATCTTTAGCACTAGGGTTGAAATTATCACCAGAACACTCTTAGCTTGTTGAATTATTATCATAATTTTATTGAAATTCTTCTTAAAATTCATCTGCTATTTTACTCGCGATCCCCATAAAAATCTTTTCTCAGAATTACGTAGGAATTTTCCTTAAAGTGTTCTTTTCACAACTCCTTCTGAAATCTTCCAAAATTATCTAAGAATTAAATTTAGAACTTTTTAAAGCATCCTTCTCCACAGAAATCTCCTCAAATTCATCTAACAATTTCTAAGCCCTTCTAGGCAGCATAATTCTGGAATTCTGCTCAGAACTTCCTAGTCTCAGAGCCTTCACAATTATGACTCAAGTATGACTTTTTTTTTTTAAATCTGTGAACCTGAAAATTTTTCAAAATTGTTAATTATTTTTTCTCCAAGTAGGTATTGCATCCCGAAAATTTTGAAGAAAAGTTCTAGTTTCAGACTCTACACAAATGTCAAAGCCCCACAATCTTGGGAATCTTCGTAAATCACTTTTTGTATCCTTTCAGAAATATTCTTGAAGTATTGGTCTATTGGATGTGGGTATTAAATTTCATGAACCATGTTTAGTTTCACGTTGAGCGAGTTCCAACGTCAGTAGGTTTTACATATTATTTTTTTCGTATTTAACTTCGTACATTAGCAGCGCCGGTGGTGTAATGCTAAGCGTGATAATCTCTCAAATTTTTTAAATATGCGAACCTGGAAAAAAAACCGGGAATTTCAAAATGGAAATTCACTGGCCAACCTGAATGTAACACAGTTATGAAAGATTTTGAACATTAATTACTCAGCTGCCCTTGGACCAATTTCAATAATGTTATCACCAATCGATCAGAAATATTTCCACGCATCAATAGCAATGCTTTCGTCTAATGATTTTCAACAAGAAACTATTGAAAAAGTGGTAATGTAAAGCATTGCCCAATGTACAAATAAAAAGTGATAATTTGTATCACTGTTTTCATGAAATAAACGTTCTTCCCAATCCCAGTCGTCCTAATCGAGTACCACTTGGTTACACATCATTCTGCTTTAACCTGAAAAGATATAAAAGAGCGCTGCTGTCTAGCCTCAACTCAACTGTTGGCCTATATACAATCATCTAAAAACATGACGGCCCCAGGTTTCGACAACATCCCGAATCTGAAACTCAAACATTTGAGTTCCAGATTCTACAACCATCTGGCACTGATTTTTAATCTGTGCCTCCGACTTGGCTACTTCTCTTCGTGCTTGAAGTCAGCTACAGTCATACCCATCCGGAAACCTGGGAAGGATCCGTCCTCTATTTCAAGTTATCGACCAACCAGCCTTCTCTCAGGGTTATCAAATCTGTTCAAAAGAGCAGTCTACCACCGGCTCCTAACATCTGCCGAAGAAAACAACTTGTTACTCGAGGAACAGGTTGGTTTTCGGAAAGGTCGTTCGACCGTCCACCAGCTGACTCGAGTAACAAACATTCTCAGACGGAACAAGTCTGTTTCGAAAACATCTGCCATGGCGTTGTTGGACGTTGAAAAAGCGTTCGACAATGTCTGGCATGATGGCCTGGTGTTCAAATTGCAGCCCTACGGTCTTCCAATCTTCCTAGTGAAGATAATTAACAACTATCTATCGAACAGGACGTTCCGAGTCTCTCTGAATGGCATCACATTGGATGCTTTCAACATCGGTGTTGGGGTTTCTGTTCAACCTGTTCATCTCCGACATGCCAGCTCTCCCTGATGGTGCATCGTTGTCTCTGTTCGCAGATGACACATCCATCGTCTTCAAGGGTAGGGTCATCGCAGCTCTGACTGCCAAACTTCAGAGAGGCCTGGACGTCCTGTATGACTATTTCAACAGCTGGAAGATTCGTATCAACGCGGCAAAGACCCAGGTCATCATCTTTCTTCACTCTAAATCTCTCAGAATTGTTCCGTCGGTGAATAATAAGATCTGCCTGAACGGCTTACGTACCTTACCAATTAGGCTAAGGCCTTGTTGTTCTCTACTGTCCGAAGAAGTCGTCTCCACTCTACTCGATCCATGGCCACACTTCGCCAGCCTCGTAGTCTGCGAAGCGTCCGCAGGTCGCCTTCTACTTGGTCGATCCACCTTGCCTACCCCACCTGCGCGCCTCTTCTTCTTGTTCCTGTTGGGTCGTTTTCTAGAACCATTTTCACTGGATCGTCATGTGGCATTTTTACGACGTGCCCAGCCCACCGTAGTCGCCCAATTTTTGCAATGTGGACGATGGATGGTTC